TTCTTACGTGTAAGAAGCGTTCCGATTCAGGGATTAGAGGTTGCAAGTCTTCGCTTTTGGAGCGAGTACGTGGCATACACTCGGAGATTAGATTAAATTAAATAGTTGATACCTTAGTCTAGACAATGCTACCTAAGTGCACTAGTAACTAAATTAAGGAATCCCCGGCAACGGCGCCAAAAACTTGATGGGCTAAAGACGTGTCTACTTATGCGTCTAGCGGTATCTTACTGCAAGTGCACAGCCTATCGAAGTAATATTTAAGATTATCGATCCACAGGGATTCTATCGTTACTTAGTGCTAGATGAACTTCTAGTTTAGCTAAGGCGAATAGTTGTCACGATTGTTGTTGGTTTTCTAAGACTATTGAAGGCGGAATTAAATTCAAGTTTTTAATAAAATAATACTAAAACGGTCGGTATGTAATTATACTAACTTAGGTGGGTCAATCTAACCTAGGCTTATAAAGATGTTCACTTAATCTATTCGGTAGAGATTACTAGTTTGAATACCCTCAACTCACACTCTCGTGGTCTTGAATCAGATCTTATCCCTAAAGCCCTATGCCTGCTCTCGCTAGCCCATAAGTGTTTAGAGGTAATTTTTGGAAACTAAATAATTCTAATTTATCTTAAAGCGCTCTCGCTGTATTTAATTTAAATGCCTAACTTTAGCTATCTGGTTAAAATCTCACACTCTCGTGGTCTTGACCCAACCTAATACCCTTTTCTTACTCTCGTAACGAAAAGGTCGAATTTAATTAAAAAGTATCAGCCAGAATTTTAAGCGATTAATTATTTTAGCCCATGGTTATATTTTACCGGTTAAGTTAGTTATAACTACATACCGCCCTAAGGTATCTAGCTACTCATCGAGGTTAAATCAGACTCAGAGTTAATTATTAGCTTACTAATGGCAGAAAAATAAATAGACATTATGAATAAATTAAATTGCAATAACTGAAAAACCTGATTAACAAATATCTGAGTAGACTCCTTCTTCCACAGACCGGAAGGCTTGGAGTAGGCGGAAATAAAAATTAAAACGAATGCTGAAGGCTGGAAACAAATAAAAGTATAACAATTCCCTAATGTTGGAAATTGTTACACGGTTGGTTTGGATACAAATAAAGTAATGCAGAAAATAAAATGCTGGAATGATAATTCTGATGGTAAGGTAATTTGGCAGAGCTTCCGCGGGAAATTTGGATACTGAAGTCTCTCCCTGAATCCTCCTGAGCTGGTCCTATTTATAGAGCTTCCAATGGGCTGGTTCTTGGTCTTTTGCTTCTTGGGCTTTGCTGAAGTGGTTGAGAAAATGTTGGAAAGTGGCAGCAGAAAATGGGAGAAGTCTCCCTCACGTGCTGCCTTGAGGAGAATTACTAGGAGGAGTGGGCTTCACTGGTGGCTTGACGTAGTCTGAGTCAAAAAAATCAAGTTATATCCTTGTCACGGGCGTGACAAGGTCTTCACGCTCGTTATTTGATGTTTTCAAGTGTCACGGTCGTGACTACTTCCTCACGGTCGTGATGGCCCAAAGTAAGGTGTCACGGTCGTGACACCCTTGTAACGACCGTGGTCGTAACAAATTATGCAGAGTTTATGCAGGCTTCTGTCTTGCTTCATTTCTTGTGGTTTCTTTGTTCTTTTCTTCTTAATTCATGATTTGGCCTCACATATAGGTGTACCTGCAAAATAGTAAGAAAAACTCGAGGAATCGAGCGTTAAAACGGTGAATGCGCGGTAAAAGTCAATGAAATCTAGCGATATAACCGATGCGTTTTCTCGTCATCAGTATTTTCAAATAATGTTTATGAAGTTGAAGAATTAACTTCTAAAGGTCGAATTATGAGAATAAATGGCAAGTACTTAAAGTAGTAAAAGCCTATGTTGCATGAAATTCAAATAATGGAAGAAAAATATATAAGCAATGAAGATGTCAAAATGACATTAAAATTAAAAATTACCAAAATGAAGACAAAAATTCAAAAAGGACATTCAACCTTAATCTTCTCTAAGCGCTTCTTTTCAAGCTTAATCACAGCTACTCTTCCCTTTTTAGAGCTCGAATTTCTTCGTCCATAGATAAACAATCTATGCATAATGAAAATCGATGTTGGCCTCTAGAGCTAATTTTTCTTCAAGACAAGCTAGTCCAGAATTTTGAATTTCATACTTTTTTTGCTGTGCCTCCTTAAACTTTTGTTGCAATTCTTCAACCTATTTCGTTCAATTTGAAATTTATTTGTTGTAGTCTTTTATTTAATCCTTACTCTTTGTGGTTTTTGAAACTCCCCAGTTTTCTTTCAGAATTACAAACTGACCTCACAAACCAACACGAGTCTTTTTCAGCATGCTTTGTCCTCACTCACACTTTTTCTAGGAAACTTTCCTAGAAGGTCACCTATCTAATTACTACTCCAAGTTAAACCTCCTTAACTATGGAGTTATTATTGTTAGGCTACAGAAAAGAAGACGCATCTTGTTGTTATAGGTACTACCAATCAATCGTCATAAGAATTCCTTTAACCACGCAGTTCCATTCCTGCACAGCATCAGGATCTCTCTCATTCTCATGTGAAATCGGAGACCACTCTCCACCCTCTCCGGCCTCGAGTTTTAATCCACTCTTCGCCCTCTTCGGCCTCGGCTGTTATAGTTTGGGTTTCCAAATCATCAAATCAATTTTGAGACTGGACGACTAGGTTCTATTGTTGGGATATGACTCCCGTCTTTTGCCTATGTTTGTTTGCAGACTCTTTTTTTTCTTCAGTTTTTTATGCTGAGCAATTTGATTGAGAAATGGTTCAAACTCTAGGGTAAAATCAACAGTGAGGTCGGGTAAGTCTTAACCTTTAAGCTGCTTCAACAAATATTTTATGTCATAGGTAATCAAAGGATTTTCTTCAATATTTTTAAATAGATCGACTTCAAAAACCTTTGATTTCAATTGTTGAATTAGTAGGGTAACAAAGTTACCAGATTGCTCACCTCCTGAAATAGTTGAAGAGCCTGGATATTTTTCAACAGAGTTAGTACCTCGACTGCTTATAAGTTTCCTTAAAGCTTGTATAGGATTTCTCTCTTTTAGAGCCTTTATTTCCTCACGACCGAGATAAGTTTCAGAGGTTTTGGATGAATAATCTCCAACTTGGGGATGAATAATGGTAGTTTTGTTTGAAAAATGATGCTCAATGGCTGCTGGTAAAGTCTGTGAAGTTGGAACAACGTGAGGTTATTCTTTTTCACTAGTAGTAGTTTGAGAATTTCTTTGATCTTGATCCTCTTCTGGTTGATCAATATGTTCTTGGTGTTTTGGTGTTGGAGCATTGTTTTCTTCACCAGCTGATTGTTGTTCAATATTTTGATTTTCTACCACTTCCTTTGATTTCTCAATCTTCTCGACCGAGTTTTCAGTTATTGGTTGCTGTGATGGCGAATTTTCCAGGGCATTATAAACATTTGAGGAATTAATTATTGGAAGGGAAGTAAAACGAATACGACACTCCTATAAAGAATATAGAAGTCAAACGATATTATAAAATTGTGTAATATAGATCGAAAAGAATATACAAATAAAAGTTTAAGTACCATGGATGGCTTGTGGCCAGGGCTTGAATTTTCAATCTCTAAATTCTCATCGGGAGTGGGTTTCCTTTTTCTTCCTCACCAATATTTATAGAAAGTTTCCTTCTTGATTTCTTGGGTGGACTGGCCTTAGGAACCTGAAACTTTTTCTTTTTGTCCATCAAAGGTCTAAGGTCTTAACAACAATTTTTTCCTTTTTGGCATGGCAAAGTGTTGAGTTATCAATATCATCTTGCCATTTACTCCGTTATTTGGGAGGTAGGGCTCTATGGGAAACCTCACTACTTTCTTCAAAACCATCACTTTCATCATTTTCATCATCTTCATTGTTCTTGTTTATAATTCTTAGATCAGACTGAAATGTTAATGGTTATGAGTATAATGAATAGCATGGTTAAATAAATGAAAGACATCAATAAATGTTGTATTTTAGCCTAAACTAGTCTTCCTTCACTGTCAAGAGCAACAAGTGTTTTTTCTTTCTCTTCCTTCTTTCGATTTCGAGTAGTAGTATTTGAACCACTTCCTTTTTCCGAATCTCAAAATAAAAATAAGCATAAAGAAGGGATAAAAAACCTATTGTTATAAAAGAGAACAAAATTTTATAAAATATAATTGTTTTACTTCTTTTTGTTTGTTGGATTCATCATTGTCATCAACTGCTTTAACTTCCTTCTTTTTCAACCCTTTTAGAATGAGAACTCGAGCTACAAAATTTTGAAACAAGTAAATAATATGAACATAAGACAATAGTTAGTGGGTTTTGCAAGTCCCTTTATATCCCCCTCTTGGACGGTGGATAGGATTCATACATTTTCAAGATTAACCCTTAAAGGCCCTTTATAATTATGTATATTATACTTAGTCAAAATTACTCTTTGGTAGGTTTTTTAAACTCATTTTCTAAGACTGACAAAGACCCCTAAGAAAACCATTTTAAAAATAGAGGTTGAAAATGTTAAGCCAGATTCACAAGTTGGTAATGGTGGGAATTTGAAAAAGATTACACCTTTGGTAATACGTCATCCATCAATTAATATTGGAACTGACTTCCTTTATCGGACAATCCGTTGCAGTCTTCAAATAATTTTATATTTGGATTGGACCATGATTGTCTCTGGGCCTTTTGTCCAAGCTGAAACAAAATATTAACTAATATTTTAAATTAATTATATTTCCATACTGGCATAAAACTGTAAATAACAATCGTAAATTTTCTATAGTTATGACATATTATAATCAACAATGGCGTCTAGAGTACTCCACTGCACGATATAAAGTCCTTGTATGCATGCAATTTGCAAAGACCATATGCATATTTCTAATTAGACTTTTCAACTTTCCACCGTTTCATTAACTCCCTTCCCTTATATAAACCAAACCTCACTTCCACTTTCAACTCACAAACCAAAATGACTTCTTTCATAAAAACCATCTTTCTATTCTCTCTCATCACTCTCTGCACCTTCACATACACACAGGCAGCAACAATCGAGGTCAAAAACAACTGCCCCTACAAAGTATGGGCCGCGGCCGTCCCCGGCGGCGGTAAGCCGCTAAACAAAGGCGAATCATGGACCATCACCGCATCAGCAGGCACCCAAAAAGCCCGTGTCTGGGCCCGAACCGGATGCAACTTCGACAACTCAGGCAACGGCCATTGCCAAACCGGTGACTGCGGCGGTGTCCTAAACTGCCAAGTTTACGGTACACCTCCAAACACACTAGCAGAATACGCTTTAAACCAATACATGAATTTGGACTTTTTCGACATTTCCCTTGTCGATGGATTCAACGTTCCTATGGATTTTAGTCCAACTTCAAATGGTTGTCGTGGCATAAGGTGCACCGCTGACATCATCGGACAGTGTCCTAGTCAGTTGCAAACTCAAGGCGGTTGTAACAACCCGTGTACTGTTTTTAAAACCGATAATTACTGTTGTAACTCCGGTAGCTGTCAGGCCACTGATTATTCAAGATATTTCAAGACTAGGTGCCCTGATGCTTATAGTTACCCAAAGGATGATGCTACAAGTACATTCACTTGCCCCGGTGGAACCAATTACAGGGTTGTCTTTTGTCCGTGAATTTGCCTATATGTGTAAAATGATATTGGAATGCATGCACTAAATATAGAAATAAGTTTAAAAGGTGCATGTGTGTGCACTTTAATTTGTTAGCTTATCTATATACGATGAGCAACACTAGATTATAAATAAATTGTCAAGAAATTAAGAGAGATTCATAAATCTTACGTGAACAAGTTATTTGTACTATATGTGTTGTGTTTCGGTTTACCTGTTTGATACTTGGGCGGTGATGACTAGAGTTGGACAGGGGGATCGGTGGTAGCTCTCATGAATTTCATCCCAATTGTTTCTTAATTTTTAGTTTTAAGAGTACTTATTTTAAAATAATTAAATAAATTGGAAACAATGTAGCTGGCTAAATGTATAAGAAAAAATAAATTAATAGGAAGTTTTTTACACTAAAATTATGAAAATTGTATTTTTATGTCGATTAATTTTTTGTATTTATATATCAGAAGAGATCATGAGAGGCGATGAGAGTGATGTAATGCTCCGTCCATAAAGCTCTCTGGATCATCTGTTCACTAGATAAGTCGTTTCTTTATTATTTAGGTTGCTTATTTTTGAGATGACTCATCCATCATGGAAAAATGGAGAAATGACATGTATATGGTCCATTATGATGGAGAGTGAGTCAGAGTGAGTCATATGCAAGTTAACTGCATTTTCCTAAGTAACATATGATTATCCTCTCTCTAAGTTACATATGATTAATTGTCCACTCCCACATTTCTCAAGAGCGGTTGCTATTCTCAAGGGGCATATGATCCAAACTCAATATGGCTATAAATATCCTAACCCTAAAGTTAAAATTGGACAATCTCATTCTCACATATAAACTACATACACAGAGCTATTCACCACCTTATGTGAGTTTGCTCTCATCCCTACAATTAAAGGTGGCAAACAAGTATGTCACATCCATTTAGGTCTGCCTCGTAAAAGCCCACACAAAAAATATGGTGTGATGGGACAAACATACTTGAGGGTGTGAGGATAAAACCTTGGCTCATCCCGTAAAAAGTGAGGGCAGAGCAGGTCAGACACGCGTGTACTGCACCTTTTAAGTCTAAGAATACACAAAAATTATGTTAATTTTCATGCCCGCAAAAAAAAACATGGCGGGGTGAGCACATTAAAGGGTGCAAGCATAAACCCTTAACCTGCCATGCACTAAAGTGTAAGAAAAACAGGCATGCACAACGAGTCTGATCCGTTTTCCCATCCTTACCTACAAAAGACCTTAAAGCCTCTAGCCACCTTTAATCACTAGGTGTTGTCATGTATTGGACTTTAAGTAAGTACAATTGGTGTCCACCGCGGGACAAGGTAAAAATGACCTAATCACCACAACAACAATCTGCTAGATTATTGTCCTCACATTCAACATCTTTGGCCATCATGGTGAATAAAAAAAAACTAATATTGCCAATGAAAAAGTTAAAGGCGAAGAAAGCGCCATATGAAATGTGCATTGATATGGATGATCTTCGCCGTAAGAACCAAACTCTGAAGCATAATGTCCTCCACGCCCAGTAGCGCCAACAAGAGATAAATCCCACATACGAGATGGAAAGGCTATACCCTAACATCTCTCAAACGAGATATAGGAGACGCTCGTTCTAGAGAACTTCAAACCTTCTTCATTGGCTAAGTTCGATAGGCGCAACGACCCATATGAACATGTCGTCTCCATAATACAGAGATGGCTATCATTGGAGCCCTTGATTCCATGAAATGCAAGCTCCTTTGTGGTAACTTCATTGGCTTAGATCTTAGAGGGTATATGTGAATGCCTCGGCTCTCCATCACCAACTATTAGGACTTGGTTGTCATACCACAATTTTGTCTGGAAATTTTAAACTTTCATACATCTAACTTTATTTTGTTTTGCTTAGAATAAAATTTCGGTTCTACAGCAGACTGGTTGATTTGATTTTCAAATATGTGCAAAATTAGCGGGCGAAAAATTTAAATATCAGACTTGCAGACGTCAGTTTATTGACATACAGTTCGCGTCAGTTTTTTGTTCTCGTTTTCATTTGCATTTTGATTAGTATGAGTATTTTCAACTAAGCGTTTTTTATTTAAAATTCGGTCTAAATCTGTCTTTTTCCAAAAGTTTACTCGCGTAGGTCATTTTAATGCATTTATTTTGTTTTATTGTGCATTTCGCGCCCGATTTGTATTCATTTTAATTCCTTTTATTTTGTTTATATCAAAATGTCAAGAAAAAATAAGTAGAGTTAAATAAATAATCACTTGATTTCTATTTGCTTTATTAAAAAAATTGAATTTATTTGCATTTTAATTCATTTAAACCTCATTTTAATCATTTAAAATATTTAAGATGACTTTTTTGGCATTTTAAATTAATTGGTAAAATGTGTGTTTCTTGGTGTTCTTCATAATCGTTAGATTCATTTAATCAAGGGTTTACAAATACTATCCATGTATTCCCATCCCACCAATCACAATTAAGGGAATAATAAAAACAAAGAAAAAATAGAAAAAGAAAAAGAAAATAAAATAAGGGAAAACTAGCGCCTGATTGATGCATTGGAGGATATCATTTTTTGGGGCCAGTTGCTCACTTAGAATAGAAAAAGGAATACCCCTAATGAAATAAGGACACACGCCCAACTCATAAACTCTCTCTCATTTGGTGGCATCAGATCACATGGAAGAGGAAGCAAAAAAAAAGTTTTTCCATTATATCCACTTTCAAACGCACCCTTCTTGGGGAATTGAATTCTGTTTTCACATTTTGAGTTTACCATACACTCAGTAACATGAGGACCCCACTCTCTCAAAAGATCTCATTCTAAAATCCACATCTCAACTCTCTTTACTTGATCATCTCTTTCTCCTACCTACAAATCACATGACCACACTTTTTCCTCTTCATCTCAATTATCTTCACCACCCAACAACATCTTCGGCAGGTAACTGCTGTGTTCCATCATTTAAACTCTATTGAACCATCTTCTAACTTGATATACAACCTAGCATGCTCATCTTCCTCCCCTCACTCACACTATTTCCTTATTGCAACAACATTAAACCGCAGTGATGCATGAACTTCGCCTCTCTTTCGTCCTCCAATAACCACCATCATTCGTCGTGAATACAATCTTCAACATATCATCACCCTTCTGTTAGAAATTCAACCATAACCTATGGAGAATTTCACTCATACAATCTTGATCTCAATATTTTTTCAACTCACGTAATGATAATGAAAGAAAAGTTTAGAAAGAAAGAAAGAAAGAAAGTAAACGTTGGAGAAGAATAAGATGAACAATTTTCTGCAGAGAACTCTCTGCCCACAAATTGTGGAATTTTTGTTATTTCACTTACAACTGCAAACTGTGAATTACAAAATATGATGAGATGAAATGTTTACAAAATAAGGATTTCTCCCTATTTATAGATTTAGGTTAGCTTGCACCTCAAGCCAAAGCCCAAACTATAAAATCCCAAAAATATCTAATCTAATATTTCTAAATCAAATCTGATCTTTCTATATCAAATATAATATTTCTAAAATAATGAATTACATATTTAACACACCACCTAATTAATTGTGTCTAAATTATCTACATTCATCATAGACCTTAGCTTCTTGAACACTTCGACTGACACTCCCTTCTCCTTGATGTCTGCAATCTGATTCTCAGTCTGCAGTGCTCCAAGTTCATATTCCCTTCTACTACCTGATCTTGAAGATAATGGAACCTCATTTCGATGTGCTTGCTTCGACCTTGTCGTATTGGATTCTTCACCAAGTTGATAGTTGACATGATGTAGATTTTCATGGTAATTGCTCCATAACTTTTCGTTGTGATCTCTTCGACCAGGTTCACCATCTAGGTTGCTTGACATGCACAAAGAGAAGCAGCTATATATTCTGCTTCGCATGATGACAATGCCACTATTGTCTCCTTTCTCGAACTCCAAGCAACTGGTGCACCACCTAACATAAACACATAACTAGCTATGGATTTTCCATCCTCAGCATCACTACACCAACTAGAGTCGGTGTATCCTACTAACTTGCATTCTTTTCCTTCATCAGCTGCAGGAAATAAAATGCCATAATTGAGAGTCCCTTTTAGATACCACAGTATCCTCTTCGCCGCTACTAGGTGTGATACATTTGGCTTCTACATGAATCTACTTAGCATACCTATATTGTATGCTAAGCCAGGCCTTGTGTGACAAAAGTGTTAGAACACAAATTGATGTTCAATATATCTCATTGTTTTGATGATAACATTAATGAAATTTTGTATAGAGAATTTATATACACTAATTCTGTTCAAGCGTTTATTTATTTCAGATATCAAAATTAATATTATTCAGGAAGAAAGAACGCCTCTGAACATCACAGAACGAAAAAGATCTGAGCGTCAGAAGCGACACATCAGAAGACTCTAATCTTCTACAATGACTCTGAGCAAAGCTAAGAAGAACTTAAGCAAAGAACATACGTAAAGCTTCAGAAGACTCTGAAAGTACTCAACGCTGCAAGTACAAAAGTTCTGATAAGCAAGTATGCTCTGATAAGGATTTCACGCTTAAAGCACTTTGCTGCAAACTCTGATAGAGAAACTCTGATTGAGTTAACTCTGACCTGAACAACTAAGAACATCATCAGAAGTTCTGATGCAAGGCGTTCCAAAGTTGTTGAAGAAGATGATGTTCAAATAAAGATACATTAGTATATTCCTTGTCTTATCCTAAACGGCTCTTTCCCCATTCGTGCTTGACACAGGATTTCAGACAAAAAGGATTTGTCAGAACATTCCTCTTCTGAGAAAGGAAAAGTCATTAGAAGATAAAATGAACAGAATGCACAGATTGCACAGTCTTTGAGAAAGGATTTCAAAGGACTATAAAAGCAAGCATTAGCATCACTTCAAAGGTTGACGGAACTATTGACAAATTATTCAAGCGCTCATTCAAATATTATTCAAGCTAGAATAATTTTATTC